TTGTCCATTCAGTAAGGCCTCCTTATCTCTCCTTGCTGTTCTCTGGAAAGCTGCATTAAGTTGGGTAAATCTTTCCTTCCTTTTCGCCTTTGCCTTTTGCTTTCCTTCTTTCCTCTGCTATTTGTAAAGCCTCTTCAGACAGCCACTTTGCTTTCTTGCATTTCTTTTTCTTTGGGATGGTGGTGATTGCTGCCTCCTGTACGATGTCACGAACCTCTGTCCATAGTTCTTCAGGCACTCTATCTATCAAATCCAGACCCTTGAATCTATTCTTCACCTCTACTGTATATTCATCAGGGATGCGATCTAGGTCAAACCTGAATGGCCTCGTGGTTTTCCCGATTTTCTTCAGTTTAAGTCTGAATTTTGCAATGAGTAGCTCATGATCTGAGCCACAGTCAGCTCCAGGTCTTGTTTTTACTGACTGGATAGAGCTTCTCCATCTTTGACTGCAAATTATATAGTCAATCTGATTTCGGTGTTGCCCATCTGGTGATGTCCATGTGTAGAGTCGCCTCTTAGGTTGTTGGAAAAGGGTGTTCGCTATGACCAGTGTGTTCTCTTGACAAAACTCTGTTAGCCTTTGCCATGCTTCATTTTGCTTTCCAAGGCCAAACTTGTCTGTTATTCCAGTTACCTTTTGACTTCCTACTTTAGCATTCCAGTCCCCTATGATGAGGACATCATTTTTGGGGTGTTAGTTCTATGAGGTGTTGTAGGTCTTCATAGAACCGGTCCACTTCAGCCTCTTCTGCCTCTAACACTCTAACACTCTGCCTTAATTTTAAAGCTGCTTAGTTGAACAAAAATGCTTTTATTTAAAGCACATACTCTTATAGCCTCTGTTCTGTTCAGAATTATCTGTTGCATGAGGAGAATAACAATCTCCATCCTAACTTGGTATCAGGGGCCACAGAGGTCCGATGCTGTTAGAGGGGAAAACACATAAATATTCCACAAATAGGAAAAAATGTATTGAATCCTACAGGCTTCCCACTCGTGGAGGCACATTTTACCGTGTCTACCTCTTTCCCCAGTTGCCACTTTTACCTGCTCCCACCAAAAAAGCTGATGCTGGAGGTAGGGGGAGCCTCATGGAAAACATACCACGTGTAGAAATATTGAGGTAGGAATGGAAATTGTAGGATGTTCACGTATCTTATCTCCCAGCACCAGAGAGTTGGGTCGTTTTATCCATCAGCAGAAAGTGCTGGATGTCCACCAATCTTCCCAGCTTTCCCTAGTTGGGTCCTTTTATCCATCAGCCGAAAGTGCAGGATGTCCACCAATCTTCCCAGCTTTCCCCTTCCCCTAGCAGCCATTTTTGACCCTAGGGAAGTTTGTTCTCAGGGTTGAGGCACCCAACTGGAGTGTAACACTCATGCAGGGTGGGAGGCTGCAGTGGGGAGGGGACTAAGTGCCTCCTCCCTGCCTCTCAAATGAGCAGGGGGTCCTTGTGCTGATCGAACACAATTAGAATTAGTATGTATGAGAATTAGTATATAGGATTAGTATTGAGGCCTTTGGTTGATTTTTTAGTTTCATTGAAAGCAAATAGTATAAGTACCACACAAAAAAGTAGTCAGCATTAAACTTCTGTTGAGCCCATTCTGAGTTTGGCTGTAGGCTCTGGACAGTTTTTCAAAAGCAATGTTATCTTTGCTGTGTATTTAAATATAATGAAATGAAAATGGAGCTTACTATTAAGCAGCACTGACGCAGCAGGATTTGTTATTTCACAATCATATGTACAATGTGAATGTTGACGTTTTGGAGCCTTTGCAGTGGTGGTAGCAAAAAAAAGTGATGCTTAACAGCTTCCAAGAAAGGAAGTAGTTGGTTGAGTGTCTGAGCAAAGAAGCTGCCGGAGAAATGGAGACTTGCATTCTGTATGTAGTCTGTGGGTACCTTGCTCAGTGACTGTGGCTGCTTGGTAGAATCTCCTTGGCGAGCTAATGCTCTGCTCCCATTCCCATTTTCTTTTGGTGATTGAGAATGAACTTTCCACTTGTCTCTTTAGCCCTTCCTCCTCCAAGGAAGACTCGAGCTGAACTCATGAAGGCTATTGATGCAGAATACTATGGCTATAGAGATGAGGATGATGGTGTTTTGGAACCACTGGAACAGGAACATGAAAGAAAAGGTACTGTGAGCAAAATGAGGTTGCACCTCCACTTAATTCCATTTGCAGGAGCCCAAAGTACAGTTTCCTGTAGAGAGCTGCATTCGCCCTTTTCAAACGGCTCGTTTCACTTTCCTCAATATGCAACTCTTCTGTTTTGTGTTGGTAAAAGAGGGCAAGTTACTGTCCTTGCATTTTTACTTATGCTGTGTGTTATTTAATGCTCCAGTAATGCTGCTTGTTGTATTTGAACTCTTATTGATTGACTGAAGACAGGCTTCTTACTGATCAGAAGAAGGATTTAATAGAGTGCCCTACTTAAACTTTGTGTGTGACAACTTATGTGCCAGCAAGAACACAGGATTAGAGCTGGAAGCATTAACAGTGGATGGCATTGCAAATGCAACTGTTCATGCCATCTGAGTCCTTAGTGGGGAAAAGAGCTGGCACCAGCATTTTGATGTAAAGATTGTGTTATATTGGTCAAGAGTTATGGCTCTGCAGATTTCTTTATTTTTGTTTTCTTCATCTAAACCCCACTTCCCTCCCCAGCAAGGACCCCAAGCGGCTTATGATATTCTCCCTCTCTCCATTTTATCCTCACAGCAGTCCTATGAGGGAAATTAGGTTGAGTGAGTTATGACTGGCCCAGGGTCACCCAGCGAGCTTCCATGTTAGAGTGGGGATTCAGACCCCCATCTCTCTGATCCTAGCACAACACTCTAACCGCTTACACCATATAGAGTAGTTGTAGGCATAATGTTACTCACCATCCAAACAACGATTTAGAGAACTGGAAACATACGTGCTCCCCCCCCCCCCCCCGCAATTCCCTCTTCCCAATATATTTATATATCTATCCCAACCAAATAAAACCCAAGACAGCTAACAACTTAAGGTATGTGAATCAAAAAAGCAAGAACTGCAAGCCATGGTCAAACTGCTTTGCAGTTCCGACTTCAAGTCGCACTATGGCACAAGCAAATTGTAGTTTGCTTGGTTAACATAGTTTGACAACATAGATTAAAATAGAAGTTAATCTGTAATGGAGATCCTCTGCTGTAAGCATGCTGAGTGCGCCTTTCTGAGTACAGCACTCAAATAGTAATGGTATTGTTCTTGCTGAATATGCTAAACTCAGAAAACACTGCTGAAATGTATCGGGCTGTTTATCTGAAACTGCTTGTTTAGCAGTTCACTGCAGTAAATAGATCTTCAGTTCTCTTGCTGCTGATCATATGGGTACAGAGGAAATTAATACATGTATTTGGGAAAGAATTAGATTGAAAGGAATTAGAAAGGAGTAAGATGGCTTTCCAAGAGGAAATAACCAACCTCCTACTCTTGATTATGGCACAAGTAGATGTGACCATGGTCTTCCGGCAGAGTTCCCTTCCTGCCATCATTCTAGTACTTTGAACTAAGCTACTTGGCTCAGTGGTACAGCACAGCATTCAGGAAACTGGCCAAGCCTTTCATAAATAAATATGTTTTAATTAGATTGTGGAGTAGATATTGTATCTGATCAGATTACAGCTTATTCCAGTTGCTGAGGTTTGGAATGAGAATGGGTGAGCTTTCTGCTCTGTGTAGATCTTATGGTTAGTCATTCTTTGCATTTGATAGATTGGAAAGGGGGCTTTTGGATTAACTATTACTTAAGCACCTCAAAAAATCCCTGCCTGTCCTTCCCTCATGAGGGAACTGGCCTGTAAGCAAACAGCTCTGAAAGTATCATTGAAAACAACCCAAGTAAGTTTTCTACACAAAATACTCACCAAACCAACACCAACCCAAGTAAATTTTCCATTGGCTCTCTTACTGGTACTCTAAATCATGCTTATTGCTGTACAGTGGGTATTATCACCACTGTCAGCATGTCCTGAGGTTAAACCACAGTGCTCAACTATTTGCTTGCTTAGTACATTTTTATCCTGCCCTCCTACCATGGAGCTCAGGGAGGTATGCATCATTGTGCCAGCCTCCATTTTCTCTTCACAACCGCTTTGTGATGTAGGGTTTGACTTTGAGACTGGCCCGTGGTCACCCAGCAAGCTTTATAGCAGAGTGGAGATTTGAACCTGAATCACATAGATCTTAGTTGGATGCTCATTGGACAGTCATTAACACATTGTCAATTTGGTTTCTGTCTCCTAAGGCATGACTAGCTCTTGGAAGATGTTAATAGCACCTGTTCCTATGTCCCCCGTCCCCCCCAACTGTTTGGTATCTCCGCATGCTGGTCTCATACCTGATTACTCAGTTGAGTGAGTCATTCTTCTCCTTCTCTTGCGGTTGTTTTGCTTAAAGGACTTGCAGCCAGCAGGAAAGAGACTGTCTTCTTTGTACCATGCCAGGGGAGGGGGCAGGGGCATTCAAGGATATAAAAGCCAGACCAAAATGTCTGTGCTTGAAGAAAAATCCTTGCCACCACAGGGCTTAACAGTAAAAGTTAACTTGTTAAACAGCTGTAGATAGAAAAATGGAATAAACTTGTCTTTCTGCACCCGATTCTGTCACAGTTATCTCACTTCACCTTCAGGCAGCGGGATGCTTGGTTCTTGTCCCCGAGGTTCACAGATTCCCCACCACCACCTTTCAGTCTTCATTGTCTTTGGTACAACATTTATGGAACGTTTTGTACACTTTTCTCAGTTATTGCAGAAGCAGTGGAGAAATGGAAAACAGAGAGAGAAGCACGACTGGCAAGAGGGGACAAGGAAGAGGAGGAGGAGGAAGAAAACATCTACGCAGTAAATGATGATGAGGTGCTGTAGCAGTTCCAGGCCTTGATGCCCTACTCAGGACAGTGTATCATGGATGCAAAAGAATTACATGCAGAGTGGCTTAATTGTTAACTAACTTGGATAGCCCGGCAGGTTTTAATTCTTCATCATGTCCACAGTGGATACAATCTAATTTTGTTACCCTGCACTTTTCTGCAGTTGGATGAATTAATCGTGAAATACTAACTTCAGTAGCCTACAGACTTGGGAAGCCGTGAGGCCTCCTGAGGACGTTAAGTGTCTTTCAGCCTTCTGTAGAAATTAGTACTCCAAGTTAGGAAAACAGAAGAGAATTGCCTCATTTTCCTGTTTCTGGTAGTGCAAATTAGACACTGCAGCAGTACAGCTCCGCTTCGGTCATTCTGAATCCATATAAATTGAGGTACTGTTGAAAGTGCAAGAGAGTAGAATTAAAAACCTCCATCAGCTTGCACTTTTCCCTCTGAAACTCTTTTATCTCATCTGTTTTTCTCCCAGAAGCAGTTATTCTATAGGAGCTCACCTGCTGAGATGAGGATTGGAAGGTAGCTAATGTCACTCCCATCTTTAAAAAGGGTTCCAGAGGAGATCCGGGAAATTACAGGCCAGTCAGTCTGACGTCGATACTGGGTAAATTGGTGGAAACCATTATTAAGGAAAGAATTAGTAGGCACATAGATGAACAAAACCTATTGAGGCAGACTCAACATGGGTTCTGTAAGGGAAGATCTTGTCTCACTAACCTGTTAATGTTCTTTGAGGGGGTGAACAAACATGTGGACAAGGGGGCTCCAATAGATATTATTTACCTTGACTTCCAGAAAGCTTTTGATAAAGTTCCTCATCAAAGGCTCCTAAGTAAGCTCAAAAATCATGGGATAGAAGGACAAGTTCTTTTATGGATCAAAAACTGGCTAGTTCATAGAAAACAGAGAGTGAGTGTAGGTGGGCAATTTTCTCAGTGGAGGGTGGTAAGCAGTGGGGTACCACAGGGATCAGTACTTGGTCCACTGCTTTTTAACTTGTTCATTAATGATTTGGAGTTGGGAGTAAGCAGTGAAGTGGCTAAATTTGCGGATGATACGAAGTTGTTCAGGGTGGTGAAAACCAGTGAGGATTGTGAGGCACTCCAAAGGGATCTGTCAATTTTGGGCGAGTGGGCGTCAACATGGCCCACAGGAAGTGGTGGCGGCTACAAGCATGGACGGCTTCAAGAGGGAATTAGATAAGCATATGGAGCAGAGGTCCATCAGTGGCTATTAGCCACAAGGTATAGATAGGGACTCTGGGGCAAGTGATGCTCTGTCATCTTGGTGCTTGGGGGGGGTCAACAGTGGGAGGGCTTCTAATGTCCTGGCCCCACTGGTGGACCTCCTGATGGCACTGGTATTTCTGGCCACTGTGGGATACAGAGTGTTGGACTGGATGGGCCTTTGGCCTGATCCAACATTGGCATCTCTTATGTTCTTATGTTCTTATGTTCTTAAGTGCAGGAGAGCGGAATTAAAAACCTTTATCAGCTTGCACTTTTCCCCTCTGAAACTCTTTTATCTCATCTGTTTTTCTCCCAGAAGCAGTTATTCTATATGAGCTCACCTGCTGAGAAACAGCTGTGCAAAGCTAGTTGTGAGCAGAAAGGAGGGCGGGAGTGCATGTGTGCATGAAGGTTCATTTCCCACTGCTGAATGCACTCGGTTTCTGTTATCTTGCGCACACATGTCTATCGCTTTCTTTTAAGGTTACTTTCCAGTAGTGTACTGAAGAAAACTGTAAATTGCATTAATGTGTTCTGAATGTGTTACAGTCTGATGAAGAAAGTGGAAAGGAGAAGGAAGGTGAGGACAGCCAGCAGAAGTTTATTGCTCATGTCCCAGTGCCATCACAACAAGAGGTAAGAAACAAAGAGAAAAGGCAAGATGCATGGATAATTTCAAGGTTATGTTGGCACTTAAGACAGACAAGACACAGGAATTGTTGACGGGGTTCAGGAATGAGAAATGATAGCAAACACTACTGTGTTCTGCCCAAATAAGTTTCTGCATTAGTGCCACGGTCATCTGTACTGCATCCTCCAATATTCCATGAGGACTTCCCAGCCCTCAGGAGCCACTGTTTGGAGGGCACGGGGGGCTGCTGTGGGAAGAGGAAGACAGCAAAGATCCTTTGCTCCATGCAAACATCAGTGCAGGATATGTGAAGTGGCCCTGCAACTAGGGATAGGCACAAACTGAACCACAAAGTAAAATTTGTCACAAATTTTGCCCTGTTCATGGTTCACAAACCAAAGTTCATGATGAGTCTACCGTCATGAACTTTTAAAGCAGTTCTTGATGGTTTGTGGATAGAGCAGAAAGCAGAGGTTTAAAGGGAACCCCAAGTCCTTTTAAACTCCTGCGTTCTGTTCTCCAGGAAAGCTGAAAAACAGCTGAGCATCAGGGAGGTGCTCTCCGCCTCTCAGCTGATTCATACTGTCTAGTGCCAGTTTGGTGTAGTGGTTAAGTGTGCGGACTCTAATCTGGGAGAACCGGGTTTGATTCCCCACTCCTCCACTTGCACCTCGTGGCCCTGCAAACCCTACTGAAAGGGATTGCAGTCCCTTTAAATAGGGTTTGCAGAAAAATCTGAAAAACAGCTGAAGGGAGGGAGCAGCTTGCTCTCCACCATTCAGTTGTTTTAGGCTATCTAGTGCAGCCCCTTTAAATTTTAAAGGGACTGCAGAAGGCAGCCTAAAACAGCTGAGCGGTGGGAAGCGCCTCCCGGCCACTCGGCTGTTTTTCAGGCTGTCTTCTGCAATCCCTTCAAAGTGTAAAGGAACTGCACAAGACAGCTTGAAACAGCTCAGCAGCAGGGAGCAGGCTGCTCCCCCGTTGCTCAGTTGTTGTTCGGGCTTTCTGCAAACCCTGTTAAAAGGGATTGCAGTCCCTTTCAACAGGGTTTGTGGGGCCATGAACTGGTTCAGTTCGTAAACCAACTTCCCAGTTCAGTTTGTGGTTCAGTTTGGTTTGGCCATGAACCACAAACTGACACGAACCACATTTTTCCAGTTCCTGCCCATCCCTCCCCAGAACCTGTGGTGATTCCTAAGTATCACCACAGTGGAGTATCTACAGTGGAATATGTCATGGAATTTGTGCATCTGTTCCCGAAACGTAGTGATGGAGTTTATAATTGTTTAAAATAGCAAGTCAAAAAATGCTAGAGTTTCCAAACTTTGTGACTGGAATGGTAGCCTTTGCCTTTGGCATCTTCCTAAACGTTTGATGGGTGAACAGAATTCTTAGTCCACTTTTAATCAATTGTTTGCAGTCTGTGGTGTCTCGGTGATATATTTGACAGCTGATTATGCTTAACCTGCAGATTGAAGAAGCGCTCGTCCGAAGAAAGAAGATGGAACTTCTTCAGAAATACGCCAGTGAAGCTCTTATGGCTCAAAGTGAAGAGGCTAAAAGGCTTCTAGGACTGTAAATAGTACTTGTGACACTTCTGTTTATAATCCATCCTAGAACAGTGGATGACTTTGAGCCGCTACTTAAAGCGCTTCGATTCTGGAGAATGTAATGTCCTCATTGCCAGTGCTTAAAATGGCAAGTGACCTTTTCCTGAGTAGATTTCTTTGCAGCACCTCAGTCCTAGTAAGTTTTATGTTCAGCCTTCCCAAAGACTCCAGATGACCAGCGACCTTGCCTTTAACCTCTCCTTTTCCAGTTACCTTGGCATTTGCTTGATTTCTACTTTATGTAGCAGTTTCTGCTGTGGTAAATGCTGTTGGGTTAGAAAGTCCATATTCTAATATGGAGTAGCATACAATAGCATTTATCAGAAGGCTTATTTCGCTTAACCTTTGGGATAGAATGGGAAGGCCCATTTTATAGCTGTTGGAACTGTATTGTTCTGGTTTTGCAGCAGAACTGAAGTGCTCCACCCAAACAATGCTGTTTTCAGTAGCATGTTCAAAGCTCTTCAGAGTAGCTGTTCACGTGGCTGGATTTCAAAAGTGCTGGATATTTCAGCGAGTAATACTGTAAATACTGCTTCACCTTTGTAATTCCTCAAAACTTTTTTTCAGTAAAACCTTTTTATAGAGATGCATTTATTCATAACTTTCACTCTGTCCTGAAAAGAATGATGTCATCGGACTAAAGTTTTTCAGTTGCTTTAATTTGCATTGTTCCATGAGAAAGGTGCTTTCAGTCTATAGTAGCAACTGAATCAAAAGTATATAAAACTTGTTTGAAAAAATTAACGTCATATGTGAAGCCATCAAGTCACAGAGGCATATTGCAATGCAGTGCCATGCCATTCTGTATCAGTTCAAAAGGTCATGTTGTTTACCTGCTGCAACCGGCTGGATATTAGGAAAAACTTCTTGTGCAACACTGGAATCAGCTGCCTAGGGAGGTGGTGAACTCCCCCTCGCTGGCTGGACAAACACTTGTCAGGGATGCTCCAGGCTGATCCTACATTGAGCTAAAGATGTAACCTTTTTTTTAAAAAAAAGAGCCTATATGACCATTAGTACTGTAAACCTAAAAGAAAGCTGAAGGAGAGTCAGGTTGAGGTAGTGGGTAAGAGTGCCATACTAGGATCTGGGAGACCCAGGTTCAAATCCCTGCTATGCTGTTGAAACCCACTCGGTGACCTTGGGCCAGTTGCATACTCAGCCTAGCCTACCTCACAGGGTTGTTGTGAGAATAAAATGGAGGAGAGGAGAAGAATGTAAGTAGCTTTGGGTCCCTAATGGGAAGAAAGTTATGGTATAAATGAAGTAAAATAAATAAAGCTAGTTTACGTTTAGCTGTATAACACTGTTCTAGGAACTCCTCCTGTTCTGTTCATTCGGTCTGTTACAGACTTGTGATCAAGAATTCAATCAACAAGCTCACTTCAGGAATTGCTTAATCTAGTTCCTCTCTTTTCTTTTGTAAAGAACTTTAGTAAGCTGTAAAATGGAACGCTTTATTTTTAAAAACCTTTATATTCTACCTTTCCTTGTGGTTCAAGGCAGCTTACAGTAATAGTTAAAAACATTCTGAGTTAAACCCACCCACCCACGATGTCTGCCATTCAAACCCCCTCAAAAGCCCTGGCAAACAGGCAGGCCTTGAAGCATTTCCTGAAGATCTCCAAGGAGCCTTCTCAGCTCTTCAGGGAACCAATTCTACAGAGCAAGAGCCTGGTGGAAAAGGCCCAGGTTCTGGTTGATGTTAGATAGGCCAGTCTAAGTAGTGGAATAGCCAACATATGACTGCCTGAAGATCATAGTTGGCGCACAGGAAAGTAATGAATTAAGCCATGAGTACCATAATCACTGGAGTAATGCACTATAACGTTCAGCTGAGAAGATTTTTTATGTTCTTGACCTCTTCAATGTAGAAATGCAGTGTAGATATGCATCTGGGGAATGTTTAGTTTGGAGAAGAGGAGGTTGATGGGGGCATGATTGCTCTCTTTAAGTATTTGAAGGGCTGTCACTTAGAGGAGGGCAGGGAGCTGTTCCGGTTGGCAGCAGAAGATAGGACTCGCAATAATGGGTTTAAATTAAGGATGGGAAGATACCGGCTGGATATGAGGAAAAACTTATTGTGCAACACTGGAATCAGCTGCCTAGGGAGGTGGTGAACTCCCCCTCGCTGGCTGGACAAACACTTGTCAGGGATGCTCCAGGCTGATCCTGCATTGAGCTAAAGATCTAATGATTCAGTGTCCAACCAGGCAGTTCCTTATGCTCTGAGGAACTCTACTAGTTTTATGTTGGTTTTACACAAGGCTGCAGTTCAAAAGCAAGAAATTGCAAGTAGATAAAGAGGTACCACTTCGGTGGGAAGGTAAACAGTGTTCCGTGCATCTTGGTGTTTAGTCATGCCGGCCACATGACCATGGAAATGTCTTCAGACAGCGCTGACTCTTCGGCTTGGAAACTGAGATGAGCACCGCCCCCTAGAGTCAGATTCGACTGGCTTTCGAGCAAGGGAAAACTACTTACTAAATACATACCTACATTGCATTTCTACACTGAATCATTAGATTCACTACAGTCTACTCTGATAGGCAGCAGCTCTCCAAGGTGTCAGGCCAAACTCACAGCCTTGCTACGGTTTCACTGGAAGCAAGGGAGAGGAAGGGGCCTCATGTATTTTACCTTGAGTTTACTTCCTTTCTGCATTTTCATCAGTTGAATGGAGTGCAGAAATCCATTGTTAAAGGAGTACAGAAAAACACACCGGGGACACTAAGGCTGTGGTCACACACACACTAAATCCACTTTCAATGCACTTTCCAAATGGATTTTGCAAGTTCACACAGTAAAAATTCAGTTGGAAAGTGCATTGAAAGTGCATTATTTAGCGTGTGTGACTGCAGCTTAAGGGTGTCAGTGTTAACTGCTGTACAAAGAAGTTAAGTAGTTGTAAAAAAAATCAAAGGGACTTCCACACTTGCAAAAAAAAAGTATCTATTTATACACAAGCTCAGTGATCTGGTTTTTCTGGTCTTCTGGTGTCTTAATTTCTAAATAAATGCCATCTAAACTGGGATCCTAGTCCTTGATGTGGGATAAAAGGCATATTCAATTTGGGTTAAAAGTTAATTTTGAAGTGTTCTCACAAGGCAGCAGACCAATTCAGACAAATGTAGCTGAGCTGGAGTAGAGAAAGTTGAAATGATGAGGAGGACCAGTTTCTACAATTCCATTCCTGGCCAAAGCTGCTGCCCTGTAAAACAAGAAAAGTCAGCTTTGAATTTTGGGAACCTATTCCGCAAGAACCCTCTCCCACGACGGATGCCCCCTCGCTCCCTCCCTCGGCCGATCTGATTGACAATTAACAAAGGTAGGTCAGGGGGCGGGGTGGAACCCTACAGGCTCCACCCCCTGGGTAGCTTTTGGGCGGGGACGGAGCTAGTGGACAGCTACATGAGGCCGGCATCCATAGCCTTGGCGAGGTCTCAGGGGGAAGCGTGGCTGGGCTGAACTCATCGGCCGCCGGTCCCTTGAAGGCGCCGCTATGAGGGGGCTGCTGCCGCTTCTCTGCCGGTCCCTCAAGAGCGCCGCGGCCGCCGGATCTTTGGGGCTGAGGGGGCTCTGCTGCTCCGCCGTTTCCGGGGAGGACGGCGCGGGCACGAAGGTAATCGCGGGGGGAGGAGGAGGAGGAGAACGATCGCTCCATCTCTAGCCTTACCTCTCTTTGCCCCCCCCCCGGGGGGGTTGATGCATCCGCATTCACCGCCTCACACACAAGCCCTGATGCCGCTCTGAGACGGAGGAAGCGTTGGGGTCGGGGATGAAGCCACTGGGGGGCAGGTCTTACTGTCGGGGCTTCTTCCTCTTGTCGCGGGGTGGGGGGAGGGATCGGGCAGTACCTTTTGAGGGATGGCTCGATCTAAGGAAGAAAAAAAGGGCCCGCTTAAACTAATCTTCCAGGTTTCTCATTTTGCTCTGATACTGTTAAGACTTGAGTTATATCGTCCAATTAAATCATCCTTAACTAGTTTGCAAATGAGAATAAAAAATAGTTCTAGAAACGTATGCTATTTGGTTCTTAACACGTTTCTGCCCCATCTTATTCTCTTTTCTTTCTCTTATAGGTACTGGCCCTCTACAGATTTTCATAAGTACTGTACTTGTACCTGTTTTGTTTTTTTTAAGTAACACTTGCTGGCCGATTAATTTTTAGTTGACTGAGTTGAGCCATTTTTCTTGATCTAACCATTTTTAGAGTAGTAGCTCACTTTCTTTTGTGATCACTTTGAAAGACCCCCCTACACACACTTTTTTTCAAGGAGCACTGTTGTTTTGAGGGGGAGAGGGTTTTTTCATCCTTTTCTCTATTCCCCCTCCAAGGTGGGGAGAACTATTCCTGAACTGCTTGAACTCATACTGGAGAATAAAACCGGGTACATGTAAGGCCAGCTCAAGCTAGAAATGGCTCATGACTTATTTATGCAACTGGTTGTTTTGTAATAGCCATCTCTGACTTGTCTCAGCTTCAGTTTTGTTCACATATGAAAGCACTAATCTTAAGGCAAATCAGGATGTGTTTACACCTATATTAATTGGCAGGTATGTCAGTTCTTTCTCAACTGCACAGCCAAATGCGTTAAAGCATGAATGTTCAAACCTCAGACTACAGGGTTCTTAACATGTCTCTGGAACACTGCTGTTGTGTAACAAAGTCTGAGTCCATTGGCACCTTTAAGACCAACAAAGTTTTATTCTGGGTATAAGCTTTCATGTGCATGCACACTTCTTCAGATAGTGTTGAGGGTTTGATAATTTTTAAAAAGTTTTTGCAATGTAGTTTGCAATCTTCCCTTTCTCGCCCTGCCCTTGCTCTATCCAATGTATAGCAATACCAGAACTGGACATTTTCTTTTTGTTAAACTGATATCCATGTGTTAACAGTACCACCAGTTTCCTTGTGGAGAAGTCGGTATTAATGTTGTGCATAAGAAACTGGGAAATATTGCATGAGTAAACCAGATGAGGACATGATTCTTTATTCAAGATAGATATTTCTCCATGTCTTGATTGTATAAAAATGCTGTTCTGATCCAAGTAGTCTTGACACTCTTCAAATACTGTGGACTAGTTCACACTGCCAGGTTCTCCCATGCAGCTGTGTGCCTGGGACATACATTGGGGGGGGGGTGTTTGAACCAACCATTGCCCAATGGAGCTGGTAAGTTACCTTTGGGATCCAGGAAATGAAAAAATGCACCTGTGAACATGGAAAATGGCTGCAGATTCCCCATATGTACAGGTTGATTCACACTAGTGTACTTGCTCATGTGATTGGATAGCAAAATTTGCTGGTTCTTTTCAATGAATGAACCCTGACGCTGATGTCCTCAGAATAGCCTGTCAAAATTTTAATGGGGCTTTCAATACCTGTTGGTATAAAGAGAGTTTCTGCTTGCTCTTTTCTGACAGAAAGCAGATGCACTGTGAACATCTTTTCAACTAGTGTGCTCCACACTTCACCAGTCATGGTGTATAGTATTGCACGGAAGGGAAGGTTTTGTGGGGTGGAGCCCTGTGCTTATACCAGTGCTTATATTAGAGTCTGTCAAAATGTGCAGGTC